GGCCAGGTGGACAAGCAGGTGTGGCCAGGTCTTTAATCATATCTCCAACCATGAACAGAGAAAGGTCAATGAACTGAGTCAAGCCAGTTCAGGAGCCTGGACCAATTCATCATCTTTGGTGCCAACCGACCTTCTTGGAACAGCATCATTATAGGAATCATTACAAGTAGGCTGCCAAATCCTATGCATGCTGGCTGCAGGGAGCACTTCCTGCTCTCCCCACGCCTAAAGCAGTGAATGGCTGCATCCCTCCATTCATACAGACAGGGTCTCATACCACCTGTGGAGCCTGCACACTCCCAGGAAGGACTGCCAGATGGACGACAGAGAACCTATTCATTCTTCAGATTTTCCCAATCTGTCCTTGCTTCCTGCTCCACAGGCATCCACTGTTATTCTTATCACTGTCACCATCGCCGTGGTGTGTATATATAGCTCTCGCTATGTACCAGACACCGTCCTGAGTACTTTCACGGATATGTATGCACTTGACACTCATAACAATGCTATAAGGTAGGGACTATTATTTTACCCATTTTCAGCTGAAAAACTAAGACATAAAGAGATTTAAACAATTACCCCAAGATTATGCAGGTTTGGTCTAGGAATGCTGGCTCCATAGTCTGTGGTTTAACCTGTACACAGTATTCCTCCTCTAGTTTTCCTCTGAGGGACCAACTAGTCCCCACTCTCAAGCCCACTCTCAATGAGGGGTTGAGCAAACAGACCCTCATCTCAGAAGTAGATACATGTATTTGTCAGGGTTCTCCAAAGTAAACAGAGCCTGCATGAAAGAAGCAGACACAGATGTAAATATATAGATTTATCATGCCAATTGGCTCGTGTGATTATGGATGCTGAGAGATCCTGTGATCTGTTATCTGCAATCTGGAGAACCCAGGCAGCCGGTAGTATAATTCAGTTCTTGCTCATTCCACGGGCCTGAGAAGCAGAGGAGCCGATGGCATATGTCCTGGTCCAAGTCTGAAGGCTTAAGAACTGAGGGCACTGATATCTGAGGGTGGGAAAAGATGGGGATCCCAGTTCAAGCAGAGAGAATAAATTCACCTTTCCTTTGCCTTTTTGTTCCATTTGAGCTAACAGACTAAATAATGCCTATCTATATTGGTGAAGGCAATCTTCTTTACTCAATCTACTGATTCAAACACTAATCTCTTCTGAAAACACCCTCACAGACACACCTAGAAAAAAATGTCTTATCAGCTATCTGGGCATCCCTTAACCCAAGCAAGCTGATGCATGAAAATAACCTTCACCTTTTTCCAACTTGGCACGCATACACATCTCTTTAAACTGTACTTAATTTCCAAGTAAAGAGCAACAAGGTCATAATTCCACTTGCCATGATACAACTAGACCTTGAACAACAGAAAACACATTGATCCCATCCCCTGAGAAAGATAAGGAAAGGTCTTAAGTAGGGATTACTCTTCTCCTGAACTCATAGAACATAGATAGTAAAATGAAAAATTAACATTACCTCAATACTGATATAAAGTCAATATATGTTACATGATAAAAGAGGAAAGAAGTGTATTTGCTTAATACATACCTATATACACAAAATGTATTCCTAACAAAATCAGGTGACAATATGTGTGACAGTCACAATATTCTTTTCTATAAGTGGTCACAAGGTCATAGCTGGTAGTCATAATTACTTTCTTCTCCTCCCCTTTCTTATCTCTTTGCCATCAGCAAGCACCTCAGTGGGTGATGGTTCTTGTCCTGGCAGGGGGGCTAAGCCTTCATTCCTGGAGGGTCTGGGCCATGAGTAGTCCTGCCTGGAATGGGTTGTTATAGTTCCTATTGACCTTAACCATGGGTTACAGTAATAGTAAGAGATGCTCTAAGGGATCCCTGTGCTCCAGATATCCTCTTCCTTTCTTCTGTAGTAGTGGCCCACCTTCCCCTTGTTAGTCCAGATCAGTCACCCCAGCCAACTCCATTACTTCTTGGTTTATTGGCTCAGAGGCATGAGGACCCCAAAGTGGCCTGGCGGCAGTCTCAACTTCCAGTTCAACAGAACTGTTATTTCTCCTGATGGAAGAATTTCTGCCTCTAGAATCAAGACCCCTAGGCCAGCAGAGTATAAAATCATGGAGAAAGGAAGCAAAACATTTGCAGGTGGGCCCCTAGGGGTCATAGCAAATGGTCCCACTGCCTTTGCCACATCTTGATTCCTGGACCCATCAACCTTGGCTATCAGAGAAACAGCACTTTATACCGATGCTGATTCAGAAGGTACATACAACCTTACCTGGATTTCAGAACCAAGTCAGAAAACTCATCCTTAAAATTCTGTTCTTCTAGAACCACTCTTGGTATCAAATTTTTCTTTCTTAGTCTTTTTGGGATACTATAATATAATACTCAAAACTGTGTGGTTTTTAAGTAACACAAATTTATTTCTCATGGTTCTGGAGGCTAGAAATTTAAGTATCAACAGACTGGCAGATTCGGTGTCTGATAGGATCCATTTCATCATACACAGCTGTTTTCTTGCTGTAACATAGTGGGAGTGGTAAGCTATCTTTCTGGGGTCCTTTTTCTTTTTTTTTTAATAAGGGTGCTAGCCCCATTCATGAGGACTCTTTATTTCAGGACCTGATCATATCCCAAAGGTCCCACTTCCTACCACCATCAACTTGCAGGCTAGGATTTCAACATAGGAACTTGGGGGAAGCAAAAAAATTCAATGAATATCACCCATTCTTCTGGCTACTGTGACCTGTGGTCCAGGGAGACCTTAGGTCTAGTCACAGGGCGGGCAGTGCTGATAAGATATAAGACTAAAGGTGCCACAGCCGTCATGTTCTTATCGGGGAAAAGCCTTCCTAAGCATGAAACCAACACAGAGGAAGGTTGAGCCAAATGTAGAGAAAGAAGGACTCATGAGGACCCTTGACTTACCATGCCCAAAGCCAGGTCTAACCTTGGGCCTTTCAATTTCAGGACCAAAAATGTCCCTTTTCATATAATCCAGTTTGAACTGAGTTTCTGTCTTAAGCAACAGAAAAATCTGAGACTGAAACAAACTGTGGGGAATACCATCCCCTGGACTGCATAAACATTCAGATGTAGGAGTCAGGAAATTCTCTCAAACTTCTCTTCCTATTTTCCTGGAGATGGGTGAAGAATTTGTAGCCAAAGGGCCAGAATGTAGATTCTGATATGGTCCCAACCTTCGCCTCAGCAAACAGACCTGCAAGGGCTTTGACTGTCCCATACTGCTTGGAGTTCTTCACCTCAAGTACCACATTTTCCAAGCAAAGTATTGGCAGCATAAGTTCTAGAGTGTTCCTGTTGCTATGACAACAGATGTCCGCCACCACCACCCCCCAGAAGTCTCCTGCAGTGAAACTGAAGATGACCACTTGTAGAAAGCCAGCAGGTGTCAAAGAAATTCAGAAACAGAAAGTAGTCACTACTCATTTGGGGTAAGCTGAAGTCAGCTGTGAATTCTAAGCAGATAACAGGACAGTAATGGAGACAAAGCCAATTTGGGAAAATTCTGGAAAATGAATCAAAGCAGAAACAAAGTAAGAGAATGAGGGGTAAGAAGACTACATGTGGTGTATGCTGGTGCAGTTCATTACTGGGCAATGGAGACCATACATGGCAAGTCCTATCAATTGGGACAGTTTTGGAAGCATGTAAAAGAATCCCCTAAACAGCAGGATTTTACCAAGAGGAGCTTCTTATCTCACCTCTCCAGTTTGGGGACAATAAGACTCAGAGGTGACTCAATGCCATCAAAGACCCAGGTTCCTTAAACTCTTCTATACAACTACTCTCTGAATGTCAGCTGTGCCTCCCTCCTTGACCCAAAAGGGCTGCCACAACTCTAAGCATTATATCCTCACACAAAAGTACCCAAGGAGACAAAGAAAGGGCTGGCTCTCTCTTATAAGAAAGGAAACTCTTTCCTATAACATCTCCCCCATCTTCCCTCCAACCCCGTTTGCAGGATCAGGGCACTTACTAGTGACAGGAGACCTGGAAAAGCAAGTCTCAGGCATTTTTTGACTTATGGCACAAGAGTGGGCCTCTGCCAGAAGGAATGAAGGTGAGGACTGTGAATGGCCGTTGTGTAGACAGTCAACAAATCTGCATCAAAACCTTTGCCACATCCTTCTATGTTCTATACTGTCCATGACTTAATATTTTCCTTGACTCACCTTGTCTTTTATTTAACCTAAATGCCTTTCCTTAGGAAGGAAATTTTATATCCTTGTCATAAATACAAAGCCATTTTTAATTGTTTTTCCAATCCATATTAAAATAAATTAATAGTAATTAAAACAAAAATTGTCTATTTGAACTATAAGCATCTCTTGTCCTACCATCAGTGGTCACATTTTGGGACACACAGTAGCAGGATCACCTCATTTCCTTCTAATTCTTGGGCCCTGATATTAATACCTCCCTTACAAAGGCCTACAAAATACATTGTAAACTGGGCATGGTGGTGCACACCTGTAATCACAGCTACTCAAGAGGAGGAGGTAGGAGGATCACTGTCCAAGGCCAGGCTGGCAAAACCACAAAACTTTAATGAAAACAAACTAAAAGTGTTAGGGTATAGCTCAAGCTATGGAGCACTTGCCAAGCAAGCACAAGACTATGAATTCAAACCCCAGTACTGACGGAAAAAAGAGAGCAGCAAACTGCCAACAAACTGACTCTTATATGGTAGCAGAAAGAAGCAGTAAGCCCTTCACTCTCCACCCCCCAAGGTAAAGATGAAGCCACTAGCAAAAGCATCCTAAAGAAACTTGCTGGCTTCCTATCAAACCACAATCTCCTCTCAAAATGTTTTGTTTTATCCACTAAAAGGAGAACCATCTCAGAGGCTGTAAGGGTACCCCATCCTTGGAATGAGACATCCCCACCTATCATCTAAGCGAGATCACTCGCTTACCCCAAAGGATGCACTGAGTATGGACTGAGATGAGTGACCATTGCCCATTACTTACATCAGAGGCTGGGCCCTTGTCAGCGCCAGGGCAGGAGAACGTGACAAATTCATGGCACCGCTTGTGCACAACAAAGCAGCAAACTGCAAAAGAGAAAATAAGGGTTGGAGGAAGGGAAGAAGGAAGGGGCAGGGGAGAGAAAAGGGAGGAAGAGATCGTTAGACCTGGACTTACCAACAAGTAAAAGCTGTGTGCCAAAATAAAAATAACTTCAGCTTCTGGGTCTGTCTTCTGTGAAAGACAAATGAGTACAGTGATGTCACATCTTGCACAGGTGTGACAGTTGGAGCATTAACTAGGGTTCACAAGCTTAAATATGGGGCTGGCGGAGTGGTCAAATAGTAAGAGCACCTGCCTAAGCAAGCATGAGGCCTTGAGTTCAAATCCCAGCGCTGCAAAAAAAGAAAAGAAAAGAAAAAGCTTACATATGCTCCAAATCACAGTCCTTGGAGATCCCGTAAAGGGCCTTGTCTTTCGTTGGTTGAAACAGAATGAAGTGTGTTTAGATGCCCAATGCATAGCAAATGCATACTTTAAACACTAGCTTCACACCTAGAGAGGTGCTCACATAGGAACAGAGTGAGCAAAAATGGCAGGTCACAGCACCACGAAGTGGAAGAGTAGAAGAGACAGGCTGCAACATTTACATTTCTATGTTAGTGAGCTGCAACCAAGTGCACCTGAATTCATGTGAGTTAAACGATTATTACATCTACCCGAGTAAGGAGCAGCCAGAGAACAGCTACAAAATAAAACTGGGTTTTCTGGTTCCATTTTTCATTTACAGTTTTGTTCTTCAAATCTTCTAATAAAAATTCCTAGAGGAGGGCACTGGGCTGATGGACCAGCTCAGAGCCTTTCTAAAGTTCATGTTCAATAAATGAAAATAGAGCAGGAAACCTCAAGGCTACTCCTGGAGGAATGAGAGATTCCATGCCTGCCTGGGGTGAAACTGCACACCCAGACCCGCCTGTGAAGTACTTTTGCCAGGTAACCAAGAATGAGTCAGTTCAAGTCTTTTGATGCAGCTGCAAATGGACAGAAACATGAGTGACAGGAGCATATTAAATGACATTAGAGAGGTCCCTGGAGTCCCCAGAATATGGGCAATTGTAAAAGCGACCAATATGGTTTCCTCAACAAATAAAAATGAGAAAGGAAAATAAAAACAGTAGGGAGAAAATAAGAGGAGAAACATATATTCAAAGAAATTTAAGAAACATATCAACCAAATGCAATCTGCAGGACTTGTTTGGATCCTAATTTGAATAAAGCAGTAATTTAAAAAATTATGAAGCAATCAGAGAAATGGATATAATCACTTAGTTTTTTATATTAGGGAAGTACTATTATCGATATTAAGGAATTAACATTTTTGGTGTGATGATGGTATTTGGTAAAATAATGCTGTTATTTCAATAGAATCTTTATCTTTGAGGATCCATCTTAAAACGCTTTATGGATAAAATAATTAAATTTGAAATAATTCGGTAGGCTTGCACAAGAATTCATTACACCAATCTGTCTACTTTTACATGTGTTGATACTTTCCATAATATAAAATTGTAAAACAGAGACAGAGAAGGACACTGAGGGTCAGATAGCACCTGAGTATAAAAAGTGGGGGTAGGGCTGGAGGCACAGCTCAAGAGTAGAGCACCTGCCTAGCAAGCGTGAGGCCCTGAGTTCAAGCCCCAGTACCACCAAAAAATAAATTAAAAAACTAAAGCAAAAAGGGGTGGGGTGGGGTGGGGATCAAGTGATGAAGCACCTGCCTAGGAAGCTCAAAGCCCTGAGTTTAAACCCCAGTACCACACTCCTCTCAAAAAAAATAAAATAAATAAAATAAAAGAAAGAATAAAAATACTATTTAAACAACTTTAAGGAAAAACTAGACAAAGAAACTTTAATCCACCTACACTTCAAAAGGCCTTCCTCATTCCCCAAGGTCATATAAATATTATTCTGGGATTTTTTTCCTTTATACAACATCACTTCCACTTTGAACACTTTAATCCATCTGTAATTTCTTGGAATCTGACATGAAATGGGTATCTGATTTGCCTTCTTTTTTTTTCATGTAGATAATCAATGGTCCCAGGATCCTTTACTGAATAATTCAGCCCTTCCAGCGCCAACTTTATTATATGCTCAGTAATGACATGCACTGGAATGTGCTTTGGGGCCTTGGCCGGCTCCACTGACATGTCTCGAAGTGTTGGTACGACAGCCTTTAATTACAGCAGCCTTATGATGTGCACCACCCTGGTCGTCCCGGTCATTCCTCGTTATCTTTATTCTCAACATTTTCTTGGCCTACACCGCACACTTATTCTTCCAAGTGAACTTTCGAAGTGCTTTATCAAGATTTTCTAAATATCAGTGGAGTTTTTATGGGAATTATATTTAGTCAATCCCTTGCCCTCCAAAAAAGTAATTGGGTCTTTGAACTGGTCCTAAAATTCAGAAATTAAATTCAACATAATTGTCACTTTCACACCAAGTCATCTCATTTCTTTATCTGTTCCATGGTCTTTGATTTTCTCCAGATTATTTCTGCACATTTCTCACTCAGTACCATCGGAAAGATTCTTTTCATATGCTATTGTGAACTTGACTTTTCATTTTGTTTTTCAACTGGTCATTATTTGCAAATAAGAATGCAATTGAATTGCAGTACATGTATTTTGTGAGCATTTTTAAAGTCATGATAATTTTGTGGGTTTTCAGTTGCTTTGAGTTTTCTGGCTAGAGAATCATATTATTCCTCAAAATAATATTTTCCTTTTCTCCTTCTTCATAGATTTGACTCTTTTTTCCCCTTATCACATTTCTGCTTCTAGAGCTTTCAGAACAAACATGACCTTTCTACCCCTTCTCAAGCTCACTTTTGCAATTCATATTTTCCTTGGAAAAGGTCCACAGTGACCTTCCTGGTGTGTTTACATCACACCATCTTATCTGGGACACTTCCAAGCCTTCTTTTATTCCTTCTTTGTTTTGTATTGTTAATCTCTCTCTCTCTCTCTCTCTTACTTTATTATTGTATCATTTTAAAGAACCAGATAGTGGATATACTTATCAATTCTACTAGGTTTTATCCCACTTTATTAATTACAACCTCTGCCCCCACCCTGTAACTATACTTGCATTATTGTACTTGTACTTATTGGTAGGAACGTGACTTCTGAGTGCATCATGTGAAACTATAGTATTTGGTCACGTTGTTGTCTTATCTCCTCGAGCTTCTGTTTCCTCTGAAAGATGGCAGTGATGATAACAGTCCCCATATCCCAGTGTTGCCGTCAGAATGAAGTAAGTCAATCCACGCTCAGAATGGTTCCTACCGTATTTACCGTAAGTGTTCAACCACGATCTGGGGCTGTCGTGTACTGCTCCTTTTAAGGCTGCCTGAGTTGACTGCTCAGTTAATTTACCCCCATTCCATTTCATTAAAAATTTAAATATTTTAAGGCTAAAAACTTTTCTCTTAAGTACAGTTTTGGTTGCATCTTAAGTTTTATATTTAGTGTCGTTATTGTTTTAAGTTTCTAAATGGTCTATTATGGTTTAAATTTCTTCCTTGACCCAGAACAACTTAGGAAAGTTTGTTCCCTCATTTTCAAGGAGCTGCTTTCTTCCAGAACCTTTCTTCAAAACTTCCACAATACCAGTTGTGATCTTACTCATCCTGTCTGCTTGGGGGGCTCATCTCCAGTTTCCTAGCACCCACAATTTCCAACACATCCACAACACAAATTCTAACACAACTGATAGTAAGAAATTGTTCAGTGCAGGAGCTGGTAGATTGCCTCAAGTGGTAGAGCACCTGCCTGGCAAGGGTGAGGCCCTGAATTCAAATCCCAGTCCCTCAAAAAAAATAACTGTTCAGCGAATGAATGAACAAAAGAATGAATATCATCAGCCACAAAAAGAGAAGAAAACAGAGTCAGCCTCATGGAGATAAAGCACCTGGGGGTCTTCCCACAGTCCTTCACCACACAGTGACAGCAATCCACAATGGTAAGGTCGCCTTGAGCAGACCTTCCCATTGACCCAGAAACAAATAATCTATCCCCATGAGGAGGAATCCATGTACCAAGTGGCCAACTGCCCCTGGCACACTCTACAGAGCATCGGGGACACACTTGGCGAGCTGATGAGCCTGTGGAGCAGGTATTTCCTTACATGGCACATTCCTGAGAAGTTGTACATATCTATTTCCCCATTAACTAAAACACTTTTTTAAAAAGGAGTGGGGGGGGGCTATTTTAAGAAACAAACTGAATCCTTTTGTGATACAAATAAACACCACCTCATTTCTGTTTGGCAAATCCAGGATAAGGCTGGCTTTTCTTAAAGAAGAGGCAACACTTCCTGAGCTGCTGAGAAATGTGCCAGGTCCAGTTTTCACACAGGTACCGGGTTGGAACCAAGTCCCAGGGGGACCACCTGGGCTAGACAATTCCTCTTTGCCCTCTAGGATTTGAAGCACTCTCCTCCAAGGTCAAAACCGACCGACAGGCCTGTTACTCAACTCTGAATAATAAAGTGGGGCTTCCCAAGTGCTTCTGGGAACCGTCTCCATGATCAAAGGTAGAAAGGCCTGCCGCCATTTCCTCTCACCACCTGGCCTCACCACCATTAAGTAGGGAGACTCACATGGCCAGGCCACTCGAGCTGGTGAAGAGCTTTCATATCATGTTTTACTCTGAACCCCGCAGTCCTGTGGGGAAAGTGTTTGGATCCTTATTCTATCAACAGGGATGCTGCTGCCCAGAGGGGTCATTTGCCCAAGGTCGCTCAGCTCATGAATGACCATGCTTTTATTGGAAACTAGGTTTGACTTCCTCTGGAGCCCACATTCCCCACTTGTATGTGCAGTTGTCATTTGCTGTCTTGTTCCAGAAGAAATCGCCCCCACTTTCCTCACCCCTGCCACTCAGACATTTGCTGAATCCCACTGAGTCTTCCTTCACAACCTCTTTCACACCACAGCCTCCTGCACACTCCCACTGACTCCACCTCGGCCACCCTCAGTACCTCAGAGATGGAGTTCCTGTAATAAAGGCCTCACCAGCCTCTCCAGAGATGGATCTGTCTGCCTTGATACCTCACCTCCGTGAGCCAAAGCTCCCATAACCATAAAGGAGATACGATGAGCAATGCTGCAGGACTGCTGAGATATCTAAATGAGATGTCATATACCAG